AGACCCCTCCAGCCTTCTTGTTTGCAACCATTCTGCAAAACTTGCAAACTGTTTTTCATTAAGATGTGGCATACCTTGGGTTTCTCTCCTGTACACTTTCAACATGCAGCATGAAGACAGAAATCAAAGCTGTTCTCTCTTTTGAAATAAAAGGCTGCCCCCTCCTCACCTTGCTTCATTGCTAAGGCAGTCTGCGTTGGCATCCTGCGTTGGCATGCGCCACAGCTGTGCCGCGCTGGTCCAAACCGCTTGGACCAGTTCACTGGATCCAGCTGAGGAGGTGCAGTCAATGATATCACTGGAAAGAAATGCTGTCAGGTGAGCTGCAATCCAATGGAAAAACAGGAGGTATGTTTTTTTAAAAAACTGTTTGGAGTGGTTGAGAAGAAGTAGGGGAAATGGTAATACTGAGGATAAAAAGACAGCACATATACAATACGAAATATACTCAGAGTAGAGAGTGGATTTCATGCTCTTTATTCAGCTCATAGTGGTGAGGAGGAATCGAAGTTCCCCCACAATATCTGCTTTATATACATTATTTACACAATGGGCTGCACGTGATTGGCTAATTCCGGAATTCTCCTGTAGGCCAATCAGGTTGTGGATTCACTTCCATCTGGAGCCGGACTGGGTGGCTCCTGCAGACCAATCATACTGCTGCATTTTTCTAGGACCAATCAGACTGCTGCATTCTGAATCCTATTGTTCTAGGACCAATCAGACTGCTGCATTTTGGATCCTATTCAACTCAGTACATAACACAATAGTTGGTAGAATGAAGATTATAGGCCACATAGATCTGTATCAGGGGTCAGCAACATTTTCCAGCCGTGGGCCAGTCCACCGTCCATCAGACCATGTGAGGGGCCGGACTATTTTTTTTTTGGTGGGGGGAATGAATTCCTATGCCTCACAAATACAGTGGTACCTCGGGTTACATATGCTTCAGGTTACAGACTCTGCTAACCCAGAAATAGTACCTCGGGTTAAGAACTTTGCTTCAGGATGAGAACAGAAATCGTGCTCCGGCGGCACAGCGGCAGCAAGAGGCCCCATTAGCTAAAGTGGTGCTTCAGGTTAAGAACAGTTTCAGGTTAAGAATGGACCTCCAGAATGAATAAAGCACACATTCTACTCATGTAAAACACCAGGCAGACCCCACAAATAACCCAGAGATCCATTTTAAATGAAAGGACACATTCTACTCACGTAAAAACACGCTGATTCCCGGACCGTCCGCTGGCCGGACTGAGAAGGCGATTGGGCCTTAGGTTGCCTACCCCTGATCTATATATTTAAATTCATATATTGCTCTCCTCCAGGTTTTTTCCGGAGGTCAGTGCTCTACCTGACAATGCATGAGCAGCTCAGACATCAGCAGGAGTCTGGCGCATGAGCTGGTCGGATGCGTGCAAAGCTCAATTGGTCAGAACTGTTAGGTTCCATATAGTAATCCATTTAGAATAAATTCCTCTTCCATCCCTTGTTGCAAAACTCTTTGGATGTCAAATGAGGACACAGCCTCTTGCAGAATGTTCAATGTATAAGTGCATACCAAAAGAATATTTAGAGAAGAATTGCTTTCAAAATCAGTGGAAGTGGATTTTGAATAGGTTTATTTTTGGGGGGGGGGATGGAGATATTCTTAGCAGGAAGGCAGATTTGGGGCACTGCCCTCCTGTTCAACAGTGGCAGGGTTGTTAAAACACTGTGCATTGTATTCAATGCTAGTTATCTGCACAGGCTAACTTAGGTCCACTGGTCCCATCACCTCCTGGCATATAGAAGGGGAAGAAATGGAGGCAGTGAGAGATTTTACTTTCTTGGGCTCCATGATCACTGCAGATGGTGATAGCAGTCACGAAATTAAAAGATGACAAACCTAGACAGCATCTTAAAAAGCAGAGACATCACCTTGCCAACAAAGGTCTGTATAGTTAAAGCTATGGTTTTCCCAGTAGTGATGTATAGAAGTGAGAGCTGGACCATAAAGAAGGCTGATTGCTGAAGAATTAATGCTTTTGAATTATGGTGCTGGAGAAGACTCTTGAGAGTTCCGTAGACTGCAAGAAGAACCTATCCATTCTGAAGGAAATCAGCCCTGAGTGCTCACTGGAAGGGCAGATCCTGAAGCTGAGGCTCCAATACTTTGGCCACCTCATGAGAAGAGAAGACTCTCTGGAAAAGACCCTGATGTTGGGAAAGATGGAGGGCACAAGGAGAAGGGGATGACAGAGGACAAAATGGTTGGACATTGTTCTCGAAGCTACCAACTTGAGTTTGACCAAGCTGTGGGAGGCAGTGGAAGACAGGAGTGCCTGGTATGCTCTGGCCCATGGGGTCACGAAGAGTCAGACATGACTAAACGACTAAACAACAACAACAAACTTAGGTCCATTAACTTCAGTGGGTCTGAGTAATAGCTGGCTACAAGCCATCAGTTCCTTTCCTGCCTTTGCTGGCCCCAGCAACAGTTTGCAGGGGTTGGGGAATGGTCTCCTGGAGTAACTTCTGAACTTTTAGAACGTTATTATGGAAGTGTCTGGTTCTTCTTTTGCTCTGCTGCATTACTTTGGTGTTACTAGTCAGTTAGTCAGATATGGCTGGTGTTAGTATGACTACCTTGTTTGCTGCGCCCTGAATCCCAAGCTCATCTTTTATAGAGAATGTCAGTTTGTAAAAAACTATTTGAGTTCCGCCGAGATTAGAGAAGCCATAAAACAGGGTCATTATCATAATCCTGTTGCATTATTGAACACTGAAGTAAGGGCCTAGAGAATATGCAGGCATATTTGTGGAATGACCTTTCCAAAGCACACCCTGACCTTCCAGATAGCTACGTAGTGAATATTAAACAAGCCCTTAAAAGTTTTAGGGGCTGATGTATTGGCAGCTTGGTCCTCACCACTTCTCTGGACAGATTGGAACCACCTCTCCTGAACAGAAAAAAACCTCAGGGTTGCAACATTTAGTGGACTAATCAGTTGCAGCAATTGATTAAAAACATTTGGATGGATGTGGCAAGTGACCCTATGCACAAGCAGCTGGCATAAAGCAAGTCAGATAGCATGAACTGGTTGGATTCAGAGGAACGGTGGGAGGAACCAGCTGGAGAACGTCCAAGGGAAGAAGCCTCAGAGCCAGGGGATTGGTGGTGGGACAATGATGAGTGGTCACAGGGAGGATGGGGAGAAGACTGGAAGAATTGGTGTTGGAAGCTGAAGAGGTAACAGGGCTTAGTGAGCTGGGAGAGGCTGTGGCAGAGAGCAGTCTAGAATCAGAGGCTGAAGCCTCATGGTGATGTTCAAGAGACAAGGTGGAGGCAGGCTACTGAAGAAGCCAGGGAAGCTCTCCCTCCTGCTGTGATCAGCTCCCCTTTTCAATGGTTTCCTAGAACACAGAGAGGAATGAAGAGGGTGGAGCAAAGAGAGACAAAACGAAGGAGCCTTAGGCTGCTTGGGAAAACCCCCAGAGAGAATGCAGAGAGCCAGTGTGGTGTAGTGGTTAAGAGCGGTAGACTTGTAATCTGGGGAACCAGGTTCGCGTCTCCGCTCCTCCACATGCAGCTGCTGGGTGACCTTGGGCCAGTCACACTTCTCTGAAGTCTCTCAGCCCCACTCACCTCACAGAGTGTTTGTTATGGGGGAGGAAGGGAAAGGAGAATGTTAGCCACTTTGAGACTCCTTAAAGGGAGTGAAAGGCGGGATATCAAATCCAAACTCCTCCTCCTTCTCCTTCTTTTTCTGTCCTCACAACTGCCTCATTGAGGCAAGACCTACTGCAGAGCTTTCCAGACCTTTCATGTTGGTGGCACACTTTTTAGACATGCATCATTTCACGAAACAGTAACAGGGTAACAGGGCTTGGTGAGCGGGGAGAGTGTGTGGCAGAGAGAAGTCTGGAATCAGAGGCAGAAGCTGAAGCAGGAGAGTGGAAGGAGGGGAGGCCAAGAGGCAAAGGTAAGTCCAGCTGATGAAGAGTCACGGGTGTCTCCCCCTCTTGCTGCAACAAGCTCTCCACCTGCCTTATCTTCCGGAACCAGAAGAGGCATGAAAAGGGTGGATGAGAGGTTGGCTGCACACAGGTGTAGTCTCCGATTCTTGGGGAAAAGCCCTGAGTAGGCAGGGACTTTGAGACTCGGCAACTGATTTTCATGGAGGAAGACCACTGGGAATGAGTTGCTCTGCTCATTGGGTCCTGACACTCAATCAAGTCTGTGGAGATCATGGTATTTTTTTGCTAATAAAGAGTTAACTCCATCTTTGAACTGTGTGATTACTGACTGGCAGGCTCGTGTGACACCAGGGTAGGTTAATCTGGTGTAAAGTTACACCCGAGCCAAACCCTGCTTGGCAACAAGACTGCAGCTGCCAATCTGCCTAAACCTTGCAGAGAGGGGGGGAAAAGCCTTTAAAATAGTGTTCTACGCTGGGTTGCCAGGTCATGTGTCCAAACTGAATGGGCTTGGGATAATAATAATAATAATAATAATAATAATAATAATAATAATAATTTATTTATATCCCACCCATCTGGCTGGGCTTCTCCAGCCACTCTGGGCGGCTTCCAAAAAAAATATTAAAATACTGTAATATATCAAACATTAAAAGCTTCCCTAAACAGGGCTGCCTTCAGATGTCTTCTAAAAGTCTGGTAGTTGTTGTTCTCTTTGACATCTGGTGGTAGGGTGTTCCACAGGGAGGGCGCCACTACTGAGAAGGCCCTCTGCCTGGTTCCCTGTAACTTGGCTTCTCGCAGTGAGGGAACCGCCAGAAGGCCCTCGGTGCTGGAACTCAGTGTCCGGGTAGAACGATAGGGGTGGAGACGCTCCTTCAGATATACTGGATCCGACCTACATAAGTTCCTGTCACAGAGCTACAGTTCTCAGATCAACCCCTCTTCCCAGATAACTCTGGGAATTAGAATCATGGAATTGTAGAGTTGGACGGGACCATGAGGATAATCTAAATCCAACCCCTTGCAATGCAGGAATCTTTTGCCCAGTGTGGGACTCAAACCCACAACCCTGAGAGTAAGAGCGCTCTTGTGCTCTACCGACTGAGCCATCCCAGAACTGCAGCCCTGTGAGGGGCTCTCCTAGCAACTCTTGCACCCTTGACAGACTACAATTTATAGGGTGCTTGTGGTGGGATAATGTGGCATGAAACTGCTTTAAATGTAGCATATTGCAGAAATGGGGCCTTTGTGACTGGGCTACGTTGTGCAGAGTGGCCCAGTATTATGGAAGATGCCACGTTCAGTGCTGTGTGCTCACTTATCATCATTCATCTTCATTCCTTTTCCACGGTTGACATTACTATTGCCACTAAGGGGAGCTGATACCTTCCTTCCAGCTTCAGGGGAGTGTGGTCAATGAGATGGAAAACACCTGATCGCCCATTATCGAAACTAGCACTTATTCATGTCTGAGCCCTAATAAATGACTCATCGGGCAAAGCTGAACACCAGCTTTCTCCGTTTTCTGCCAAAAACACCGGTCAGAAAAGAGACACCGTCTTTTCTTGAACATACAGTATGCTAACCTTTGCATTGCTTGGAACTAAACGAGGCAGACTGAGGGGGAAATCGTGGCTGTCTGTACAAAAGCGTGTTGGTTTCTTTAAAACTCAATTAATCAATTGGTTTAAAATAAGGCGGTAAATTGGTAGAGATATGAAAACTGCTGAGCGCTAGGGGTAGCAGAGGCAGCACACTTTCACAGAAAGGAAGTGTAGTTCTGCAGAATCCTTTTCCTGTGGGTTTGTTTTTTACATATATATACCAGCAGTGGGTGACTTCAGGTGCATGGAAAAAGGAGCTTTTAATTAACCATTTCCTTCCCAGCTGTTTGCTTGACATCATGACTCTGTTCCAGCTGCTTTTCTCCTCAAGAAGGAAAAAAATATATACAGGATGCTTATCCCTTTCTCTCTGGGAGAGAAAAACAGCTGGGGAAAAGAGGCAATCTGTTGTGTAGACTTTTAGGACTGTTATGTACTGAGTTGAATAGGATCCAAACTGCAGCAGTCTGATTGGTCCTAGAACAAAAGGATTCAGAATGCAGCAGTCTGATTGGTCCTAGAACAATACAGCAGCATGATTGGTTGGCAGGAACCACCCAATCATGCTCCAGATAGAAGTGAATCCACAACCTGATTGGCTTACAGTAGAATTCCAGAATTAGCCAATCATGTGCAGCCCATTGTGTAAATAATGTATATAAAGCAGATACTTTGGTGTTTTTTTTAAGAATATTTATTCCAATTTTAAAATTACAGAGAAAGAAAAAAGTAGAAAAAGAAAAACAAATCACATACATCTTACAAAAATAAACAAACAGTACAAAGAAAAATACAAAAGACAAAAAATCACAATAAAAAAGTAACAAAAAATCAAATTAAACCATTAGAACCATCTTCCCATTTACTTATTTCCATGACTTCCTCTCACCTCTCTGCTTTGTATTCTAATTTAAATCGTATCTCCAGCAAATCCTTCTAACCTTCTTTTCATTTACTTATTTTAACATTCGAACGTATTTAATTCTCCTCTATCTTTGTTTTACACTTCATATTTACTTATTCCATTATACTCTGTCTGCCAATGCGGTCTAATATTCTTCTCCAACCTTTTCTAACATTCTTTTATATTACAGTGTTTCTGAAGATATATTTTAAATTTTTTCCAGTCTTCTTCCATCGACCCTTCTTCCTGATCTCGAATTCTGCCGGTCATCTCAGCCAGTTCCATATAGTCTATCACTTTCCTCTGCCATTCTTCTCGGGTAGGCAATTCTTGTGTCTTCCAGTATTTCCCAATAAGTATTCTTGCCGCTGCTGTCGCATACATAAAAAAAATCCTGTCTTCCCTTCGCACCAATTGGCCGACCATGCCCAAGAGGAAGGCCTCTGGTTTCTTCAAGAAAGTATATTTCAATACCTTTTTAGTTCATTATATATCATTTCCCAGAAGGCCTTGATCTTTGGGCACGTCCACCAAAGGTGAAAAAAAGTACCTTCATTTTCTTTACATTTCCAACATTTATTATCAGGCAGATGATAAATTTTTGCTAGCTTGACTGGGGTTAAGTACCACCTGTAAATCATTTTCATTATTGTCAGGGGTTCAGGAGCAGAGGCAAGGGCAAGGGAGGAAACAGAGAGCGAGGGGGAGGAGGCAGAAGAAAAGATGAGTGATGACGACGACCCGAGATCTCCGAGTCTTTCCAGTGAATCAGAAGATTCACAGAAAGGAGCACCAGTGGCCAGG